ATATTTGGGAGTTTCCTAGCAGCATCTTAGATTTAAAAATCAGAGTGCTCAAGCTACTGTGTTAGGATTAACATCAGTCTAGTAAGGAATGTTCTGTTATTCCCTGTTTGACAGGGAAAGAAACCTGACCACAGACTTCTTTCAGTAAGCATCTGGGGAAAGATCATGCAGCAAAGTGGTGGCAAATTCAGGAGAAAAACAGCGGATTTCCCCTACCTGCCAGCTCCACTGCCTTTGAAAGTAGCCACATGCTTCATAAAGCAGCTATGGCCTTTTGGCTGTATTATGTGTCTAGGACCTCTGGATAGACAAATTGTTAGAAAAGGTGCTGATACTGCCTTCAGCTGCAACAAATTCTGGATGATACCTACAAGACCTATTGGCGGTAGGTACCCTGTGTCCCATGTGCAGTGACTCTGATGTGTCTGGGACACGTGTGACCTCTGGTATGTGAACTGCACTATTTGTTTGCACTATGCAAATCTATACATCACACATTGTACACTGTGGACAGGCTGACTTCACTGTGTGCAGATCAACTCTAGGTTGCAAGGAACAATACAAACTTTCACCAAAATCCAGTACAGTAAGTATTTCATAGGCACAGTGGATTCAGTGGGTACATACCGGACAGACTATACATACTTCTGCAAGAGAAATCACAGAGAGATATAGGAGCCTTTGCTTTTTAAATTGCAAAGGATTATAGAATCACAGAATGGTTTGGGTTGGAAAAGACCCTAAAGCTCATCTAGCTCCAACCCCCCTGCCATGGGCTGGGACACCTTCCACTAGACCAGGTTGCTCAAGGCTCCATCCAGCCTGGCTTTTAACACTGCTAGGGATGAGGCATAAAAGGATAGTAGGTGTGTTTTCTTGGCCTGTTCTCATGCATTAAGTATCAGAAAAAAAAAAAAAAAAAAGAAAAAAAGGAAAAAAGGAAAGGTTCTTTACCCAGTAGGAAAATATAATGAAGATAATAATGATAAGACAAGGGGTAATGGGCTCAAACTTAAACAGGGGAAGTTTAGATTGGATGTGAGGAGGAAGTTCTTTACTGTAAGGGTGGTGAGGCACTGGAATGGGTTGTCCAAGGAAGTTGTGAATGCGGTGTTCAAGGCCAGGTTGGACAGAGCCTTGGGTGACCTGGTTTAGTGTGAGGTGTCCTGCCCATGGCAGGGGGGGTTGGAACTGGATGATCTTAAGGTCCTTTCCAACCCTAACTATTCTATGATTCTATGATTTCACCTATATAATCCAATGAACATATATAAAGTACAGTGAGCATTCGACCAGAAATGTTTATTTAAACTCTTAATTCATCCAAATTGTTCTCTAGTAACAAAGAAAGTCCAACCAGCAGTGGCAAGTGTTCCTACCTAGTCTTACTGTATGGAAAATCTGTCTCTTTAGGATCCAATTCTGCTGCTGCTATATTGCATGTGGTACCTGACAGACCAGATCAGGCACTGGACCCATCTAGTACAGTAATCAAATGTGCCAGTTGCTCAAAGTACCAGCAGGGACAGGGTTTGAAAAGATACAGGTCAAACATGTTGGTCTGTAGGGCCCACCACAGGTACCCCACAGTGCTCCTCCAGGTTGTGTGTTGCCTTCATGCCTAAGGTACTGGTAACTCAGATACCAATCAGGACCTCATTTCAGAAGAAACCTGAGTTAATTTAATGCATCTACTTTTGGACTACAGCAAGATTGTCAGTGAAGGTGAAAGCACTGATAGTTAATAGATTTTCAACCAATTAAGCATAAGGTGATTGTGTTATAGAATCATAGAATAGTCACGGTTGGAAAGGACCTTAAGATCATCTAGTTCCAACCCCCCTGCCATGGGCAGAGACACCTCACACTAGACCATGTCACCCAAGGCTCTGTCCATCCTGGCCTTGCACACTGCCAGGGATGGAACATTCACAACTTCTTTGGGCAACCCATACCAGTGCCTCATCAACCTCTCAATAAAGATCTTCTTCCTTATATCCAGCCTAAATTGCCCCTTGTCCTGTCACTACAGTCGCTGATGAAAAGTTGCTCTCTGGCATCCTTGTAGGCCTCCTTCAGATATTAATGAGGTCTCCACACATCCTTCTCTTCTCCAGGCTGAACAGCCCCAACTTTCTCAGCCTATCTTCATACAGGAGGTGCTCCAGTCCCCTGATCATCCTCGTGGCCCTCCTCTGGACTTGTTCCAACAGTTCCATGTCCTTTTTGTGTTGAGGACACCAGAATTGCACACAATACTCCAAGTGAGGTCTCACAAGAGCAGAGTAGAGGGGCAGGATCACCTCCTTCGACCTGCTGGTCATGCTCCTTTTGATGCAGCCCAGGATATGTTTGGCTTTCTGGGCTGCGAGTGTGCACTGAAGCTGGCTCATATTCAGTTTCTCATTGACTAACACCCCCAAGTCCTTCTCCACAAGGGTGCTCTGAATCACTTCACTGCCCAGCCTGTAGTTGTGCCTGGGATTGCTCTGACCCAGGTGCAGGACCATGCACTTCATGAGGTTGGCATTGGCCACCTCACAAGTGTGTCAAGGTCCCTCTGATGGCATCCCTTCCGTCAAGTGTATAGACCAAACCACACAGCTTGGTGTCATCGGCAAACTTGCTGAGGGCGCACTCAATCCCACTGTCTGTGTCAGTGACAAAGATGTTGAACAAGACCGGTCCCAACACCGATCCCTGAGGGACACCACTCGTTACTGGTCTCCAGCTGGACATTGAGCCATTGACCACAACTCTTTGCGTGCGGCCATCCAGCCAGTTCTTTATCCACCGAGTGGTCCATCCATCAAATTGATGTCTCTCCAATTTAGAGACAAGGATGTCGTGTGGGACAGTGTCAAACGCTTTGTACAAGTCCAGGTAGATGACGTCAACAGCTCTATCACTGTCCATCAGTTCTGTAGCCCCATCATAGAAGGCCACCAGATTGGTCAGGCAGGATTTCCCCTTAGTGAAGCCATGCTGGCTGTCAGCAAGCACCTTGTTGATTTTCATGTGCCTTAGCATGCCTTCCAGGAGAATCTGCTCCAAGATTTTGCCAGGCACAGAGGTGACACTGACTGGTCTGTAATTCCCCAGGTCATCCACTTTCCCCTTCTTGAAAATGGGGTTATATTTCCCTTTTTCCGGTTGTTGGGAACTTCACCTGACTGCCATGATTTTTCAAATATGATGGCCAGCAGCTTAGCAACTTCATTTGCCAGCTCCTTCAGGACCCACAGATGGATTTCATTAGGTTTCATGGACTTGTGCTCATTCAGGTTCCTAAGATGATCTTGAACCTGATCCTCTCCTACAGTGAGCTTAAAAGGTTTTCATTCTTCCACTCCCTGCATATGTCTTTTGAGCAGCATGTGAGCATCTGCCAGTGAAGACTGCGGCAAAGAAGTCATTGAGAACTTCAGCCTTTTCCAAATCCAAGGTAGCCAGTTTTCCTGTTTCCTTTTGGAGAGGGCCCACATTATCCCTAGTGCTTCTTTTGGTGGCAACATACCTATAGAAGCCCTTCTTGTTATCCTTGACATCTCTGGCCAGACTCAATTCTAGCTTGGCCTTATCTTTTCTCACCTGGTCCCTAGCTTCCCAGACAATGTCCTTATATTCCCCCCAGGCCATCTGCCCTCACTTCCACCTTTTGTAAGCATCTTTTTTCATTCCGAGTTTGCTCAGCAGCTCCTTGTCCATCCAAACCTAAACTGTAGGTCATTTATTTCATATGGGCTAATAATACTAAAAATGTTCAGCTTTAGGAAAAATCATTCTCTTTTAGTCTGTTAGGAAGGAAGAACACAGTTTAAGCAGTGAGGCTTTATAAGATGAGCCATCAAGAAACTTTCCCCTACTTTTGATGCCAATCTGGGAAAAGATTTTGTGCATTTTCTAAGGATAACCAAATAGTAATTTCAGGCTTCCTATGTTTATATGGATTTTTATTTCTGTATCATTTCTCCCCAGGTATAGTTCTCTGTATGCAAAGGGTAAACTGTGATTCATGCATAGAAAGTCATCTAATTAATACAAGAAATACTTTGAACAAGATCACAGGAGTGGCAAAACCGGAACAGCTTATTGGTCTGTTACATCAGACATTTGCTTCTGGGATGGCCTATATTCTTGGGTGAAAAAAAAACAATCCACCAGAAAACAAAACAAACCAAAAGCAAGTTTACACATATAGGAGGGATCTTCGCAGTCTTACACAGTGAAAAAAATTAGCTTTGGCAGTCAGGAGCAATCACGTTTTCTGAAGCATGAGGACATAGTTCTTAGTTGTTGTTACAGTATCTGGAAAAAACCCTAGCCTGCTGAACATTTTGACTTTGTACATTCTGTGGAGATGCAGGTTTTGCTGGTGCTCAGTACCAGAAGTAAGTCACGCAAAAACCAGTGTTTATGGTAGGAACCAGGGTACTTCATCTGAGCCAGAATCAAATGAGTGAATTCTGCATCATCTTCTCGAGAACAGGTTATTTCAGTTAAACAGCTTAAATTTTGGTACCTTGTTAGTTTGTTGGGGGTTCTTTTTGAAAGGTATGAATTGGGAGAGCTGTTATTTCCATGTGTTTCAGCTTCAGCCTTGTGATATTTGATGCCTGTCTTACAACCCAGCTTCTAGATGTATTTGAATAATCAAGAATTTCACAGGTTTTAAAATGTCAGAAAAGAGAAAGCCAACAAGAAAGAGCAGACCTAAGCGAAGAACACTGGCAGCCCTCCCGTGCTTTCAGAAAGCACATTGTGACGCTTTTGGAGCTGGTCTCGGAGTCCCTCCTAGAGGAAGCCGCCGGGCACGCAAACCCTGCCCGGCTAGCCCCGGTGGCCGTACCCTGCCGGCCGCTGCTGCGGCGGGCCGGGGCAGGGCTGATGGAGGGCCGGGGCCGCCCCTGGGGCGGTCCGTGTGGGGCGGTCCCTCCGCGGCCTACAAAGGACGGTGCGCGGCGCTCTCCAGAGGCTAAAGCAACCGCGCGTGGGGGCTGTTGCGCTCTTTCGCACCACGCCGAGCGTCCCACGGCGCTCGGCCCCTCCGCGGCGGAGCGTCTCCGGCCGCCCGCGCCGCATAAGGCAAAGGCTTTCCGACTTCAGCTACAGTGCTAGCTAAGTCGGGGAAGGCAACACGGAGCAAAGCCGCGCGTCCCCCCGCCTCCTGTCGGCTGAACGGGCCAGCATGGCGCGGGGAGCGGAGCCGGCGGGCGAGCGGCGGCGCTGCGGTCAGTGCGCGGCCGGGGAGGCGGCGGCCGGCGCCGCTCGCCGGGCGATGGTGGTGGGGCCGGCACGGGGGGCTCCGACGCGGGTGGCTTTGCGCTGAAAGCGGCGTTGGGTTCCTCCAGCGGTTCGGTGCGTGTGCCCGAATCGCCTTTAGCATTTGTTTCTTGTTTCTCGTTTAGGATCTGTGGTTGCCTATTTTACCTCGGCAAAGTTTCTCCTTTACCTTGGGCATGCACTGTCCACTTGGGTAAGTAAAATACTGGCCTGGTGGAAGTAGGATTTTATTAATCTACCAATGAACATTATTGGTACTTTAAAAAAAAAAATACTCATAAAATAGGACGCCACCACGGAGACAGAGTTCGTGGTACAACACCTAGCTGTTAAAGACCTTCATCATCTTTACATGGTATGATGCTGCACTAGATCCAGTTTTCAGTGGTGCAGTAATCAGGTTTCCTGAAGGCCTGGTTCTGTAGTTCTGTACCTTTTTATGGTTTTATGTAACTACAGAACCCGTGAGATTCTTTATAAAGTAAGTTCTAAGTGAAAGAGATTAAGCGTAGTCTATAGCAGAATGAAAGATGGTCCATTGCAGCATGTATCTGAAGGACCTGTATGCTTAAGTGCACTTAACTAGTTGGAAATACAGTGTTTTGGATGGACCCATTAGCTAGTCGCTAGCAAATCTGTTGAGTGCCAGATGTCATCCCTTTTTCTGTCAAAATGCCTGTCTTCTGAAATGCTTGCTTTCTGTACTAAAGTAACTTGCTACACCAGTTTTTACTCACTTGAAAGATACTAACAATCTTAAAAATGTGCACTAAAAATAGATTACATGCTTCTATTCCGTATAATACAATGAAGAATATTGGTATCTTATAGTACAATCTCAAGTCTCCATCCAATGGCTTGATTCAAAAGAAGTGGAAAGTTTTCTCCCTGATACTCCCTATTTTGTGTGTAGTCCTGGATTTGGATTGGTTTAATGTGTGCTTTGTATAGCACTGAACAAATGGCTGGTACAGTTGTTACAACATTGCATTGCGAACTCTGGCAGCTCCTCACTTTCACTAACCTGAAAGGTCATATTGATGTTTCTGTTAATGGAAGAAGGCTCAGGGTGGTATCAAACTTGTTTAAACAAGTGCAATATTTTACCTATTATTAATGGTAGCTGAGAGGTGATGTTTGTCTCGCTGCTGTTTGGAGGCCAGGTTGTTCCCTGCAGCAGTTTGTCAGCCATTGCCTGTACCTGGCAATTTGGCCAGCCCTGCTTACTCCTCTCTGATGAGCACTTCAGAGCTCTGGAGCAGAGCTGCTCTCTGAGCTCATGAGTAAAGGTGACAAAGCAGAGTTTGAAAACAGTGTCACACACCATAACGAACATTAGGCTGCAAGGTGTCAATTCAGCTGCTTAGCTGTATTAATGGTGTACTCCTTGTTCCAGTGTGCTTTCTTTTGTGCTGAATATCTTGACTCAAATCAACTTCTGTGCTGAAGCAACAGAAATACAACTTAACTTCCACAAAACTGGGCACAGGACTGCAACTTTTGTATTTCCTAAGCTGTCGTGGGCCTGTAGTTTGAGTGGTTTTGCTAACAGGAGTAATAAACAAGCACCTTAATCTTCAGAACTCTAAGAAATGGATCATCTTGTTCTAAAATGGCCATATCTGCAATACAAAACCTGCTAGAAATGTGGTTTTGCTGGAATTGAGAGATAATTTGGTTTCTGTGTTACTAAGCCATTCCCAAATACCAGGAGCTGTAAATCATTATACATGTCACATCTCCACATGTGTTCAGACTTCAACAAAGTCTGGACTATGTCTTAGGCTCTTGTTCAGTAAAGCATTTGAATATGTCCTTGGTCTTGATCTTAATAGGCTGGACTGTGCTGCTGAACTGCAGTCTCAGACCTGACGCTGTTGCGTATATGTTTTTAGTTCACTGCTGTCTATCACTCATCATAAAGAAAGCACAGAATAAAACTGGTTTTGCCTTGTTGGTACCAGGCCTAATAATTTCCAGGAAGTGAGCTGCAACTTCCCAGCCTTGTCTGTGCTACTCGGGCCTTGGGAGGCCTGTCAGTAGGTAGTAGCCTGTGCTGCTTCACATGTTGGTCTTAGTTCAGTCTGAGATGATTATAAGGATAATTATAATGACAGAAGAGAAGGAACCATCTTTAAAAGGCTGGTGAGGCTAAACAGCTGTAGTTATTTATTTTGAAGTGTTGAAATATCCACATTTGAGACATCTTAAAGTGGGATTAAGGATATATAATCAATGGTTTGCTGATTTCTTAAGGCAGTATTTACTATCTAAATTTCAATAGATCCTAGCTTGAAATTCCATACTGCTTCAAACCCCTGCAATTCACTAATATTATTCTTCTGTAACACTAATTTATCTCTGTTCACTCTTTATGTTTTGGTTTTGTGGAGTTTGTTTGCTTTTATTTTGAATTCTTCAAAGAAGCTCATTCTTCCACATTGGTACAGCTTCAGTTACCTCAGAATTATCTGTGTGGATTGGCCCGTTCAAAATATTCTGGGTATGCTTATGTTTGCCTTTTTTTTTTTATCAGTTTAAATAAAAAATAAAATTACAGAAATCCCCCAGAGTTTTTTCTTGAACAGGTAAATTTATTTTTCCCTCATGATAGGGTTGTAAATTTTTTTCTGCCAGTGGTTAAGGAAGCAAATATGAATGCTTACACATTACAGTGTTTGAAGAAACCTTGTTTAGACAACTTCAGTAACATTAAAAGGCAAATTCTCTTTGTCTAAGCTACGCTGAAGATGTTAATCAAACTTCACAATAACTTTGACCCCCCAAATAGCATGCTTTTTATGTATCTTGATTGCTGTGTTGCGTGGTATGTTAGATTTGTCAGACTTTGCCTTTTAGAAGTGCTTTTATGTTACACCTCCCCCAGTCCTGTAGAATATTGGAGGTCCTTTACTGTTGCTGTATCACATAGCAATTGCTTATTTAAGGCAGCAGAATGACTGGTTTATAAAAGACTAATATTAGGGACCCTTAGTAAACATACTGTGTGCCCTAGAATAGTATGAGTTGCTTCTGTTAATCTGCTTTTGTTATTTATTAGATAAAGCATTTTCTGTAGGGCGTTTCTTGCAATATGTTTAAAAGCAAAATGAGATGTGACTCCCATCATGTGACAGCAGAAAAACCTTGATGTCTACATTAGCAAGATATAGGACTTTTGGTAGCAAAACAAAAAATATTGTGTATAGTATGAAAACTGCTTGACTATGTTCAGGATTTTGGGCTTCTTTTTTATCTGTAGTAAGTGCTCTCACAACATGAAAAGCTTGTATTCTAAGCACTAGGTAAACAGCAATAGGCTAAGTAGGTTGAACTAGCAATGAGTTTGCGTATATTAAATGAGCTCTGATATTCTGTCTTAATAGTATCCTATTAAAATTATTAAAAAGAGCTTAAGCCATTGACTTTAGAAACTTTAGCTAATATTTAGGACAACACCTTTCTTGATTTTACCATGGCTATCCTGAATTACAGCAAGCTTTGGCTTGTGTTGCTCTGATGTTTTAAAGCAGCATTTAAGTTTTGATCATCTGAGATCAAACTGCAATCTTGAAAAGTTATATAAATAATAACAGTAATCAATAAATCTGTTGGTAATACTTGATCTGTGCTGAAGAATCTATGTAAGCTTTCTGGGATTTGTTGCATGTGGCTGCTAACAGACTTTGTCCTTTAATGTTATAATGGAAAACAGCTGGGGTTTTTAATGTGGTGTTGCAAGCGGTTATGTTGCACTTGATTAGAACAGATGATAGTGGGATAAAAACAATGGTGGTGGGATGCAGTCATCAAAAAAAAAAACCAACAAAACCCATCTCCCCCAGTAAACAAATTCCCCCCCCCCCGCACACCACTGGATGTGTAACAAACCTTTATTTTCTTACATATTTTCATCAGGGCATTAATAAGATAGTCGACCCATGTGCTTGGAAAGTACAAATTGTAATGCTGTGTATGTATTCTCTGTTACTCTTAAAGGGAGATCGTATGTGGCATTTTGCTGTGTCTGTATTCCTGGTTGAACTTTATGGAAACAGCTTACTCCTGACGGCTGTCTATGGACTGGTTGTGGCGGGATCAGTTCTTCTCCTGGGAGCCATTATTGGAGACTGGGTGGACAAGAACTCCAGGCTCAAAGGTTAGATGCCCAGAGCAGGTTATTTACTTAAGGATGGATCAAATTAATGGCAAAAGATAAGGCTAATAGAGTTAACTCTTCAAGTCAAATACGAGAATGGGGCTTGCAGATGTTTTGTTTTTTTTTTTCAGAAGGGTAGTTTTTCAGAGTGGTAATGGTTACAGAGGTAGTGTTAAGGACAGGAGCAAAACAGTTTACATCATGCTATGTCTGCTACTCAGGCTAAACCTGTATGATATATAGAGATGCACACAAATGCAAAAGGTAAAAAGCACAGAACTTCAAGGGCTACAGACCAAATTCTTTACCGTCTAATACTAACATACACTCAAATTACTTGTTGCTGTAGTCTGTAGTCATTTATTAATAACATGGCATCAGGTTCTTACACATACTTATTTTCCAAAAGCTTACAATATCATTCCATGATATGCTGAAGAAGAATTTTAGAGCATCGCTTAAAAATAGTGTCAGCATTTAAACAGGTGCAGTTTGGATTTTGATTGAGAAAAGAACTACTTGGACTGGAAATTAAGAGCAGTGAATTGTTCAGAGCTGTGAAGTTATGACAGATATTTGTTTCTCTAAGACAATGGAAGATTCAACATCTGAAACAAAGTATAGTTTTATCACTTATATTTTAGGGGGGGAAATGGGAAAATAAAAAGTTTTAAAGAATCTGTGCGTGTGCCTTACTTGTAACCTCCTTAAGCTTATAGTTAGCTCATTCTTCTGATCATAACTCTTTCTCTCTGCTTTGATTTAAAACAGTGGCCCAGACATCCCTGGTTGTACAGAATGCATCAGTCATCCTGTGTGGTGTTATCCTGATGATTATCTTCTTGTTTAAGACACAGCTTTTAACCTTATACCATGGATGGCTTCTTGTGAGTGCTTGAACTTGTTAATAAGGAATTAACTTGCAAAGAAATTTTGGGAAGCATGGGAGACATGAATTTTTTCTTTTTTTTTTTCTCTAGTCTGTTTAGACATTCCTGGGAGCTAAAGCTGGAAAAGGGAACTTTGAGCTGGTTGGGTAAACAGAGGTGGTTGTTTTCTTTCAGGAATTGTAAAGTAGACTTGGTCTTATTTTGTCTGAAGAATAACATTGAAATGTATAAATTCAAATGCAAAAGTGTCTTTTCTGGTTTTACAGGGTACGAGTGGAGATCTCCCTTCATCAGTTTTCTCACATTGTAATTTTCCCCCCCCATTTCTCTAGACGATGTGCTATATCCTGGTTATCACAATAGCAAATATTGCCAATTTGGCCAGCACTGCTACAGCAATCACAATTCAGAGGGACTGGATTGTTGTGATTGCAGGGGAAGACAGAAGCAAACTGGCAGGTGAAATATGTTGCCTTTTTAATGCCTTCAATGTATTACTTTCCAAGTTTGTTTTTTAGACTAGAGTTTTACAGAGGTCAGCGCATCTTTGAGTTCCATATATTATGAGAAAACAGCAGGTAAAAAGGGCAGCATTTATTTTCCTCTTTCCTGCTTTGGATTACACTTGCTGAAATTAGAAATTACTGTTGTGACCATAATTCAGTTAGGCATCCCTAAACTTGATTTGTCCTCCTTTTAGTCCTACTGCAGCTTTGTCAGAACTTTATTCTTGCCAGATACTTAAATCAAATAACCAGTGTTTAATAGAAAAGCTATTTAACTTCAGGCATTTAAAGCCAAGTGTTGCAACACTTTATTTTTAGGTCTGTGGAATGAAACAGAAAACTCTTGCATAACTGGGCTCATCACATAGGGATCAAAGAAAGAGGTACATGAGAATGAAGTCCAGAACAGTAAAGGAGGCAGATCAGGAAACTTCCAGTAGGAAATGCTGTTCATGCAAATCTGTTTAAAATCTTGCACTTCTGTAGCATTAGATGTCTTAACTCAGAGCTGTGAACACTCTTCAGTTGGAGCTGAAAGCTCTGTGTTCCTCTGACATCTGATACCTTTGGTATTAGACTACAGACTTCATCTTATTTTTTGCCTCGCAAATATTTTTCCTCCTTTCCCACCTTTCTTTTCTCTTTTTGGGAGAGAGAGTGAGCTTCCATTCAAATTTTACTGCAGCTTGGCATTATGACACTATTTGAATGTGAGAGACTGTTTGGGGTCCTCTCCAAGGATGTGTTAAACCTGACTCACTTTTGCTGGTCCCAAGGCCATTCAAACCAAGGATGTATGATTGATCTTAGCTGTGCTGCTGCTTTGATTGTAACAGTGTATGAGAAGCAGAGAAGCAGCATTTTTTTTTTTTTGCAATGAACTTGGGCAGGTTGTGCGGGCTCTGAATCATTCCTATAAGGGAACTTAAACCTCCCGAGGAAGAGGAACTGATACTGAAGTGCAAACAAGGCACAGAACAGCCTAACATTGGCAAGTCATTAATAGCTCACTAAACTAATTCTGTGACTAAAGTTTTAAGCCTGACTTAAAACTTTAAGCAGAGTTTAGATACCTCCAGGACTAGACAGCATTTCACTTTCTGGACTCTTAAGTTTGTTTGAAGTTGCCTAAATTGCCCAGAGTTTGGTTTATATGCCAGAGTCCTTTCAGGGATTTGAATCCTATATTGTAGATTTATTCCTGATGTTTATCTCCAGTGAAGAAACCTTACTTGCCCATCTCATCCAGGAGAGGCTAGTTTTTAATTAGATGCATGCAGTGTCTTGCTTTTGTTTCCCGGTATACACATATTCGGCCATGGCCGTTTATTTTTGACCTTGCAGTGCCTTTCTAGGTTATGCCTTTTGTAGAACAGCAGTGCAGGTTAACTTCTTTATGCATGTGAATCATGAGTAGAAAAGTTATCTTTCCATAAAAGCCTTAAAATCCTAGTGGTTCTCATTAACCTTTCTTGTGTCAGTTCTTACTCAGCAAATTCTCTCCCCAGTCCCTGTACTACTTACTACACATGAGATAAAGTACAGACCACACCTACATGGGAGGCAGTCCTGCCTCTGTGCTACTTCATGTCAGACAGAATTGTATGACCACTTACACTCTGTACTGAAAAATCAGGCAAGAGGTTACTCTGAATGCTCATGCAACTTAATTTAAAAACAAGAAAATCCCTTGAACCAAGCACCTTAGTTTAACAAACATATCTAAAGGATCTTTTCCAGGCTGAATAGGGTTGTTATGTGTTTAATCATAATGTAATTTGGAGACTGTTGAAATTTCTTAACATAAAAAAAAACCAAACACCAGTATTGACATGTTTGAAAATACTGTTGTACCTCTTTGCACTGTTAACTAAGGCTCCTCTTTGAGGAAAGGTAGCTTAGTGGACTAGGGAAATAAAAAGTTGCCCTTTTTCATTGTCCTTGATTTAATTTTTCCATTGACTCTTACTTTCTTTCCTTTGTGGAAATATTAGCTTTCCTGAAATAACTTGGAACCCCAAAGCTTAGTTCTTGGAATTTCTAAAGCCAAATGCTATGCAAGTATCTAGCTTACTCATCTTAGTTAACCATCGGTCAAATAATTAACATTGAATTGACTTTGAATTCTAAATAGAATAATCTAAACATTTATTTGAATGGCAAGGAGTAATTTTCTGTAGACTCAGAAAAGCAGCTTCATAGTTACACACAATTTCACTTGCGTTTCAAGATCTCCAATTTCATAATAGGATTCTAAAATGGGTTTGAGATGTACTTTTAAGCAGCCTGAAGCCCTGATGTGCAGAACCATTGAGCCTCTGGCAACTTCTAGGCATAGAATGATGGCACCACTAATTGGAAGCTTACAGGAGCCCAGAGGGTGTAATGCCACTCCAGTGGATAAGACTGGGGAGGGCGAGACATCCCCTACCAGCAAATGGAAGATGCATTCATGCTAAGAATAGACTGCTTGTTTTGACTGTAAACATCAAAGTGTGGAACAGAAAGGAGTGAGGACTTTGCTCACTAAGTTCTGAAAGTGCCTACAACTGCCATCAACCATTGTGACTCGATAAGGAAATTTAAAGGCATTTCAAAGGTCTGCTGCTATCGTGGTGGGAACTGTGGTCACCATTTATTAGAATTGAATGGAGGAGATTAAGAAATATATGGCCCAATATTGGGAGATAGTAGTTGCTAGAATAATCTTTATAGGAAAGAATTCTGCCGTATGAGGTACCTTTTAATGTCTGGAGTTGTACATGCAGGGTTTGAATGTTACAGAAATAGGCTTAAGTGTCCATAATGTCGCTAGGACGTAAGAGTAATCTTATCCCATCACTAACAGTTTTACCAGCAGTAGTATACTTCCACTGTGAATCCAGCATGCTAAACCGGGTAGACCTCAGGCAGGCAAAACTGGTGGGAGTAGGGTTTTGGCTTACAAACATATTGGTTGGTCACAATAAACTTAAACATTAACATACTTTAAAGGTATCTCTGGTCAGCAGTCTAACTCCTGCTGGAACCACTTGCAGTTGGAGTAAGACTTCTTAGTGTGATGTGTATACATGTGCAATTCTCAATTACATTTGTCAGTATTTCATTGTAAGTGTTCAGCAATTGCTTCATATCGTCAACTGATTTTTGACAGATATGAATGCCACAATAAGAAGAATTGATCAGTTGACCAATATCTTGGCCCCAGTGGCAGTTGGTCAGATAATGACATTTGGCTCCCCAATGATTGGCTGTGGATTCATTTCTGGTTGGAACCTGATGTCGATGTGTGTGGAATATCTGCTGCTCTGGAAGGTTTATCAGAAAACCCCTACTCTGGCTCTCAAATCTGCAAAAGTTGAAGAATCAGAACTGAAACAGCTGAATATAAAGAAAGGTACTGAAAACACAAAAGTAACTGTTCAAATTCACAGTATACTCACTGAATCAATCGATCTTAAAGTGTTGACTCTTGTCTTCTGCAGACAGTGCTTTGAGGCCTGTATAGCTTTTTACTCATAGCTTGGAGGTTTCAGGTTGTGGATACAGAGGCTCTTAAGTAACAGTACATTTACAACCATTTGAGGAATCCCTTAAAATGCAGCCAAAGAATGAATTTTGTCCTTTTTAAATTAATTTTTTAGAGTAAGTCTGCCCTGTTACTTAGGGCTGATTGTAAGAAATGCTTTTATCCATCTATACCATAACTAATAAACTGGACCCTTTGCTCTGCAGTGTCTGTAAGCAAAACAGCCTGTGTAGGTAGTGCTCTTTCTTGCTAACTCAGTACTAACAGGCATTCAGGAGGTTGTAGAGTAGGTAGTAATATTTCTAGTCTGGCATGCTTCAGTGAGTTCCACATGCTGCAGGAAATGGTGGAGAAAAAAATAATCTACTTTGAGCCTTTCACTGTGCTTCCTTGGTCAACATGAGCAACTTTGATTTGCAATTTATATGGCTATGACTATAAGCAACCTTAAAATTGGTATTAACATTTCTTAAGATAGTTTTCATGTCAGAAATTAAAATTGCTTTAGAAGCAGACTGTTTATTATGAAGTATTGGAAACATCAGGTACTGGAATACAAAACAAGCCTTTTCCCATTTTTAAGGTAGCAGTACATGAATACTGCTGAAAGCTCATGCTATGGGCTCCCAACTACAGCATGCTGTGGGTTTTATATTTTTAAAACAAATATTATGAAGAATTGCTGGCTTTTTTTTTTTCTTTAAGAGCTAGTAAGCAATCTGTTCTTTGCCCAGTATAACCAGCAGATCCATTGTGGTAATAGCTGGTCCAGTGAGCTATTGGACTAGGCTGATCTCAGCCTGGGATAGGAAAGCAAAATAAAGAGCATAGAAGGCTCTATAGATTTGAAGCTGGCTCTTGAATGTTCCTGAGAAATGAAGCATTTAGCTAATGTCAGCATGTAACAAAAAGTCTGCCATTGCAGTATTCTGATTTCAGCAGAGGACTTGCATTTTTAAAAGCTGCCGAAAAGCTTCACGTCTCGCTTGCTGTATGTGGAGTTTGTTTCAAACTTGACAGTGTAAAAACCCTGCTCAGGCATCCAAACATTTGTATCGTTTTTATCTACTCTGCTAATCTAAAAACTGCTGTGGGATTTTTTGATTATTGTTTGTCATCAGTGTAAGTGCCATTCTTCTGTATTGGAGTGAAAATGGAATTGTGGAAAAGCATGACCTGAGATTTACTTTTTTTTTTTTTTAAATTTTGAAAGCTTTTGGCTTTGGTAGACTTCAGCAAGGTTTTTTGTCTTGGTTCTTCTAATATAACATGAGATATTGACATGTTTAAGTATTTCCTTCTCTCTGTGGTTAGTGCATCTAATTAGAAAGCTATGCTAAATGCCAACTAACATTAGCATTCATTAAGCAAATAATTTCTTTATGGAAATAGAGCGTACAGTGTCAAGTCTGTTGAGAAGACGCAAGCCATGCTTTCTCCTACCACAGTTTAATTAAATAAGTAGGAGTTTAAGTTGATGGGGATAAACTTTACTTGATCTTACTAGACAGATGGGATTTAAGGACACTTTAAAACATTTAAATAATCAGAGGTTGATTGCAAAATTTAACTGATGCACTTCTGCAGCAGTGAACTTCCTAACTACAAACAATTGTCTTAGTTTGCACTCTGCACTTTCCAGGCAAGAATATATCTAACAGTTACATTTCTGTTTACAGAGAGTGACATGAAACCTGCCGAAGGAGTGCAGTTAATTGTTGAAAAAGATGTAACTGGCTTTGAGCCCCAACAGGAGAAGGAGATGAGCTGCGGTGCCCGGATTGCTGAGCCTTTCATCACTTTCCGTGATGGATGGGTTGCGTACTACAACCAGCCAGTGTTTCTTGCAGGCATGGGTCTTGCCTTTCTGTACATGACTGTTCTGGGCTTTGATTGTATTACTACAGGCTATGCCTACACTCAGGGTTTGAGTGGCTCAGTGCTAAGTCTCTTGATGGGTGCCTCAGCAGTCACTGGAATCATGGGAACAGTAGCTTTCACTTGGCTTCGTCGCAAATGTGGCCTTGTTCGCACAGGCCTCATTTCTGGAGTTGCTCAATTTGCTTGCCTGGTCTTATGTGCTGTCTCTGTGTTTATGCCTGGAAGTCCTATGGATTTGACTGTCTCCCCATTTGCTGACATCAGTGCTAGGCTGTTTGAAAGTGAACCATTACCTGCTATAGCATCTCCAGAAGATAAGCCTGAAGTGTTTTTTGCAACTGAAATGCCCAACTTGTTCAACGGGTCTACTACTCCGGCTAACAGCGACCCAGAGATGAGTCCTGAGCCTGTGCCTTTGCTCTCTGTTAGTCTCCTGTTTGCAGGAGTCATTGCTGCTAGAGTTGGTAAGTATTATATTTCTATTAAAATGTGGTCTATTGACTGTTTTTAGTTATAAAAGCACAATGCCTATTAACTAAATACAGGTTTGAGTTTATACCTGTGGGCTACATTTGAAGCATTGTATCATATTTCTAAGGCTAATTCATTACACTTTGCATAAAAATGTAATGATCTTGCAATAGTATTGCCAGTGCAGAGACTGCAGTACTAATTTCTTGCATATCATATATCACTAATAGCAGAGAAGTTGCAACAGTTGGAGGTGAATGTAACTTGTTTCTTTGCTCATTTCTAGATATCTTCACTACCATATAAAACAATTCATTAATTGGAAACAATACAAAACACATCTGCTAAGAAAACCTTCGAACTTAGGAGTTCAAGAAATTAATCCATTCATTAAATGAATTGTCTAACCTTTAAACTTTTGACCAGCAAAGGGGTTTTAGAACAAACTTTTATTTGGCTGATACTTAATTTATTGAGGCATTGCTGGTTAGTGTTGTATTAGTATCTGCCAAAAGAAGAGGCAATCAAATGCATAAATGTAATGAACAGCAATTCTCATCTGTAGAATTCTGAGGAATAAAATAATTTATTCACATGTATTAAGTTTGTTTGCAAGATAAACTTTTAAAACAGAACCATTAATGGACTAAAATAGTATAGAAGATAGTGTTAACAGAGACTAGGTGTAAATTACGTATTCTGCATAGTTTAAAATGTGCTTGATTATTTTTTTCATTACAAACATTTAATGCAAAACTTAGCAATTGTAGCTAGCATGAATACACTGTAAATAGCTGTAAACCAGCTGTTTAAATAGGGAACAGATGAACAAAACATTGTTAACTTGGTAGATATGTTGAAGCAAGATATTACAGGCAAGTTCATATGTCAAGCTGTATGTATTATTTCAGGTTATATTAGTAAAGGGTAAGTAAATTCCTTGACTGTCAGTGTGAAATCCATTCCAGGCTGACAGGAAACTATCCTTGTCCTGTGCTTTTTTTGGCAAAAGTGGAAAATTTGAAAGCATGAATTGAGTTTTGCCAGCAATGAAAGTTCATCATAAGAAGTCCAGTTGTACTGATAACTGTGTTTTCTGTCCACAGGCCTTTGGTCCTTTGATTTGACTGTCACACAGTTGCTCCAAGAAAATGTGGTAGAATCTGAAAGAGGCATCATAAACGGTGTCCAAAACTCCATGAATTATCTTCTTGATTTGCTGCACTTCATCATGGTCATCTTGGCCCCAAATCCTGAAGCTTTTGGCTTATTGGTGCTTATTTCTGTGTCTTTTGTTGCCATGGGCCACATAATGTACTTCAGATTTGCGCAGAAAACCTTAGGAAAACAACTTTTTTCATGCCGCACTCCTGATCCCAAAGTGTCTGACAGTTCACCAACTGGTAATACATCTACTGTCTGAGAGGATCCACTTCTCTTACTAACTTGCTACACAAATATAGTGGTTAAACACATATACTGCTTTTTGTGACCCTAAGGTGTTTCTCTAGAGTTGAATGCATAACTTAGCTGTTTGAGGAAGCTGTTCGAAGAGAGCTAAAAGTCATAGTGACCCTGTGAAAGTGTTACATGTTTGGTAGAGGACAACCTAATTGGATCTTGACAGCTGGTGTTTCAAAGGATCCCTACATCTAGTACTTGATCTCAAAAGTTATGTTGACTTCCTGTTCCTGACCCCTACAGTGATACTTTAGTGGTTATACTAGCTCAATTTGTTCATGAATTCTGAACAATTCTTGTGTCTATTGAGCGAAACAAGGTGGTTTTTTTAGTTGCTTCAGAATAACTTGATATATATTATTTGATTTTTTTGTGGAGTTTTTCCTGTTTTCCCCCTTACCATGAACAATGGTATAAGCATCATTCTTGAATTCCTGAAGTGGACTCTTGAGTTCTGAGGTTTTCCCAAAATACGTTTTAGTATGCTGTTTTGGTTTAACTTTACAGAAACACCTTTGTAGGGTTTTTTGCATGTTTTCTTACAAATTAGATGAGTGCTAGGTAAAAGATGTTGTATTACACTTCTGTTGCACTTGATAAAGTAAAACATAGCCTCATCTTAGCAGAAGCTGTTGATGTAACATTAGAAAGCATGGCTTTTTTTAATTGCAAATGACGGGTCTGCTCAGGTTTAATGTAGCAGGAAGTGCTAAGGTCAGGAGTACTGGTACAGGAAGATAAAGTCTAGGGCTAACTTAGTTTTTGCAAGCAGCTTTAGTTATTTTTGTTATTTTCAGAAACCCTACTAAAGCCTGATGTATTGATATATTATTAGTATTGCAGGCAAAAGAAGTCAAAGTGGTTTACTTGCGTGTATCTGTTTTACATGTATGTGAATTTTGACTTGTTTTGTTCTCAAATACTGCTAAGACAGTGAGATGTTGGACTGTGTGGCCCTCTAAAGCAACTTCGGAGCAATGAAGAGTGATAATATCCCTCTGATTTTCAGGAAGTTCTTGCATTTATTTTTTTTTTTACCCTGCATGTCTACTAACACAGTACTTCCATAGTCAGTAACTGTATGTGCACTTTTGTGGAAACTACACACTTTGCTCTCACAGTAGAGTTGAACCTGGTGGTGATCTGAATTTTCCTATGGCATGACTACGACTCCTAAACTTAAATCTTTGTAAAAATGTTTGTTTGCAAAATAATTGGTATGCAAAAACATACGCCATAAACTTGTGAAGGGTGTGCTCTGCAACTTTTAAGCCATTTTGTATTTTAGGTACTGTCCTTCACAGTCATCTGTGTTGCCAGACTTCAACCCTAGAATGTAAGTGTGTGAGCTCCATTGACATTAAAGGCGTTACACCAGGGCTGAGTCTAGCCATTCATCATAAAATTTTTAATGATTACATTATGTATCAAACTAAATAGAATGTGGCTTTTCTCTTGGATACAATATTTTGTAAGAGGAGTGGAACTGAATGTACAGCCAATGTACTTGTAGCCCTCAGTATTCAGTAACTGGATGTAACAGTTCTTCTCCTCTAATGGACCAAAACTACCCATTACTGCTATGTTACTGAAAGTGTCTCAGGGATGTTTTCACTAGCTTTATGAGTTTTTTACTTTGACCAAGCTTTAGGTTTTTAATAAAGTAAAATATGTAAATTAGAGTAGTTTTAAAAATTTGTGACTCAGTCCTGAGTGTAAGTTCTTAAGGAAAAGGGAATTTCTCCATCAGCAGGATTTAAAAGTCAGAAAACAAATAAAACAAACTTTTCTAGATTTACAGAATAAATATGCCCAAAGAATAGCCTGTACAGTATGTGATAAGTACACAAGTCACAAGTAAATAAAATACCTCTGATTTGCCAAATATGTTTTCTCACATGTATCTAATTTGAACTGGGACCAGATTTTAGTATTGCTGAATATAAATAAAGGTAGCCCAAATGTCAGTGAAAGCCTCCATACTGCACTTTGAATGTCTGAATGCCATTGTACTTGTTAGACTCACTGGCCATCAGGGAAACAAAGCTGAAAATGCAGCTTCTTGTGGGCTGTTTATAGCCTACAGAGCCCAGTGTGCCTGAAGTTTTATGCTGTAGCAATCACTGAGCACCAGACATCCCAGAGAGGATGTATTCCTGAAGTCTGTAGAGCTCCAAAAACATAACAAATAGAGCTGGGAGCATACTATATTCCCATCTGTTTCCAAAGTTTGTCCTTTTTTTTTTTCCCACCAAGAGCAATGTAGTCTTATTTGAGTTGCATAGCAGTTTGTTTCATGAATAGTTCTACTAGGTAGTGCAGTCTGGATCTCAAGCCAAGAAGAGTAGTATTGGGAGGGGACTGGACATCTGTATTTTGTGCACATGTTGCTAGGATTCATATGAGCAGATACACACCTGGAAGGCAAGACAATCCTAAAAGAGAAAGAAGAAAGGTGGATGCTAGCTTTTAGAGGAATAATAAGGTCTAAATTGAAATCTTGAATCTATTGGTCTGGATCAGATGTCAAAAAATGTATGCTGCTTGAGCCCACCCCATTTGTGTAAGTCTGATGTATGCAGACACCTGTACTGATCAGTACTTTGAAGCAATGTGGAGCCTGAAGTCTTACTTAGCAGGACTTCCATTAAGGAAGCATTTCTGGCCTTGTATTTATTTATTTAAGAAAAAAAATGTATCCAATTTGGATGAAAACTGCCCTTAAAAAGTACCCACTAGAAATCAATCTTACAAAATAGCATATTTTATTATACAACCTTATGCTGGACATAGCATTGATTTTGTATTACTATTGTTAAAGCTGATGAATAAATTTACATAAAAAATTATTTGTTCTGTTTACTGAGTTTGTGGGTATCTTGCTATGCAATATTTAGCATGGATCTGGTAGATGAAGGTTTTCCATAGTGATGGGATGGAAACAGTCATGAAGCATAAATAATATGGAGAAATCAAGCAACAAGTATAGTAAATCCTTTCTGTGACCATATAGCTCTGTCTTTATTGAACTGATTTTTAATTTACCACTCACAGATATAACTTAAGACACAACAACTGAAAGTGAAGTTGTGCTCTTACAACCCAGGACTACCACTGGTGATGCAGCAGTTTTGTGTATTGACTTGCTAAGCAATGGAAAGCAAATGATTTACCTTCCCAGTCATCTTTTGCCATACTGAATTTGAGATGACTGCCTTCTGTAGCAGCAACCTTTAGGTGAAAACATTAGGCACAATAATCTGGTTTTAGTCTTGAAAAGTACATCAGTTGAGTGTTTTATACAACATTGCTTCTTGTTACACGTATTTAGGATGTGCTTGTGTGATAAATCCGTCTTTGGAAGGATGCTGTGCTCATTCACAAGGATTTCCTTGATTCCTCTTTGAACTAGAGGTTTTCCTAGAAAAATACCTCTATCGATTGTGCCCAGTTACATTATTACCATGATATTCCCCTATGGGAATTAGAATTGGTAATAATTACTTATTCCCATGTGGAAATTGGAACGTGGTGAGTTGAAACTATGGGCTTTGTTGCATGTATCAGACCTAGTAGCATTAGGGTAAGTGGTGTACCTCTTTAATAGGAGCTACCAAAATGTTAGTGTTAAAGACAGATAAACATTCCGAAAATTTGAAATCAGTAATTTCCTTCACTGTCACGTACAAAATAAGAGCAGTATTAGAGTAGTGACTTGAAAATGTAGTTGCACGGATTCACCCCTGTAGGTACAAAGATTTGTCAATAGTATCGTGTAATATGCTTAATGGATAAAGAACACTTTTTCTGACTGAAGAAGGCCCTTTGCCATTTACTATTCAGTGGTTTCACTGTTTTCCTGTACTCAGGTGTTCACATTATGGGAAGTTCTCAATTTTCTAACACCCTGTGGAATTCACGGCTCAGCAACCAAAGGTAGAATGAGTGAAGATACCTATTGATCTGATTAATTGCTTGTTGCACTAGATCACTTACTGGGTAGTTGAGATACCAGCCCTTCCTGTGGAAGGCAATGTGTATTGCATATTACATATTGTATTACTTTGTTCTGGAATATGTCACTGCTTCTATTTTCAAATGGAGTTTCTTAAACTGAGCACTGATGATATGGGGACTGAAAATTGAATCTTGTTAAAGAAAAAAGGATAGAGTGAAATCAGTGCCTTCAATTTGAACCATCTTCTGTTTCTTTAATGAGAAAACTGTCTCTTAGACATATCTCTTAGATATTCCGAAAGGGTAAGTAATTCGTGTCTAATAGTTAAAAAATGCTACAATTAGTGTTGTCTTTGCTTCTACAGAGTATAATGGTGTGTATGTCCCACACTAGCAGAGCTAGCTCATTGCCTAAGTTGGCTGTGTTCCCTCACTGATCACTGATACAGATCACATCTTTTCATGTCACAGTGTTATGCTTCTTTCCCAACTGGACAGAGGCTTCTTTCACAGCCTCCTACACAACTAATTTAGCAAAGCATTTATTTGAACTCCTAGGCTACAAAAGATCACAATTTGCAGGTAAAGCTTCATAAATCACAGAATGGTTTGGTTTAGAAGGGGCATTAAAGATCATGTAGTTGCACCCCCCATGCTATGGGCAGGGACACCAAAGAAAAGAAATCAAACATTCTATGATAGAAATGAACAGGCAAATCTGGAGTAATTTAAAATAACAATTTCTATTGCTTTTTAGTATTAAAAACTAGCAGATAAGTCTGCATCAATGACAAGTCATAAGCTCTTTGTAACTTTCAAACTATACAAGATTACAGGCAAACCTGAAGTAATTCAGAGTATGGATTGTTTCTGCTAGAGATGAGTGCAACTAGTAGATCCAGCTTTTCTAAATGTAGCACTGTGAAGGTGATAAATATTTTTTATCTGCCTCAAGATTGACCTGTTTTCAGGTCCTCAAGGAGTATTTTGTTCTGTACTCTGCATTCATGTCTTTCTCAAGTACTTAGTACTGGAGAAGCTAGTAGTAAGTATTAGAGTAATTGTCCTTAATGTTTTGCCCACTTACACATCCTTTTTCCTGCTTGTGAGTACTGTTAACTGCATGGAGTAAAAATCATTGTAATTTTATTCCTGGAGTTAGACTATGTCTCTAACTTCTGGTTTAAGTAACAGACTATATTTTGCAACTTTGGAGGGCAGAAAAACCTGAAGGAGGATGTTTGCTTAAATGCTTGCAAAGTGCATGGACAAAGTGCACGCTGTTCAATAAGGCTTTTTGAAATACTTCAGCCTGTCCTTGTGTGGGTCAATATTTCTTTCTAGTTAAACTTTATTGCATTTGGTCACAAGAGAAGCATGCAAACATGTGCTTTCCACTCTTATTCTAGGCACAGAGTGATGGAGCAATCTGTTTTCACACATGCAGAGTTAAGAGTTCTTAATCCTTTGTAAATGCATGGGAAGTTACTTGACTTATGTTTGGAAAAATCTGATTCTCCTCCTTTGGCAGAGAAGGGAAAAAGGATGTACAGTAGACACTGCTGTTAAAACTTCAGTGGGTGTCAAAGTATAACTCAGTCAGACCAAAAGCAAACCTGCAAGTCAGCAAAACACTTGTTAAAGCTGTACAGATTGGCTCAGAAAACACACCCACTTTGTTCATAGTAACCCATTGTCCACTTTAGTCAGGGGAAAGACAGTATAGAAGATTTCTGCATCCCAATGACAGCATACCAGAGTCTGAAAGTAAGTTTTACCTTGAGCAGCAGAGCTAACGAAGCACGTGTTCCTCTATCTGTGTCGTCAGTCCCTACACGCCCACAGCTGCAATAACTGTGGCTCCTTCCCCTGTCTTGTGTAATCCTAACTCTTCCATGAGGTCTCCTCACAGTGCTCCCCTCTCCCCTGTTTTATCAGCAGAGCAAAGTAGAGCATGTGCTCTGACTAATCCTCAGGATCGATGTGTTTGCAACAGGCCCATGAGTGCTCAGGGACTGATTAGCCAGCTCACAGGACAAACAGCACATAGGGGTCTTGTGCTCTTGGCTTTTCCCTCAGAGAAAGGAAACAATTTCAGACTTCTACTCAGCTGCTGAGTCTAATTAAGTTGTTAAAATCAATCTTTGAGACTTTCATCATGTCACAGAACCGTATAACAGAATGGTTGGGGTTGGAAGGGACCTTAAAGATCATAGAACCATAGAATCAACTAGGTGAAAAAGACCTTAATCAAGTCCTTAATCCAACCTTAATCAAAAAATCTTAAGTCCAACTATAGCCCCAGGACTGCCAAGACCACCACTAAATCATGTCAATAAGGACCTCATCTACACAGTTTGTGAACACTTACATGGATGGTGATTCCACCACTGCCCTGGGCAGCATGTTCCAATGCCTGACCACCCTCTTGGTGAAAACTCTTTTCCAAATACCCAGCCTAAACCTCCCCTGGCACAGTTTGAGGCTGTTTCCTCTTGTCACTGATTACTAGAGAAAAGAGACCTGCTACATCCTCCTTTCAGGTATTAGTACAGAGCAATAACGTTTCCCCTGAGCCTTTTCTTCTCCGGACTAAACAACCCCACCTGGTTCCAACCCCCTGCCATGGGCAGGGACACCTTCCACTAGAGCAGGTTGCTCCAAGCCCTGTCCAACCTGGCCTTGAGCACTGCCAGCAATGGGGCAGCCACAGCTTCTCTGCGTACCCTGTGCCAGTGACTCACCGCCCGCATAAGGAAGAATTCTCTTCTAATGTCTAATCTGATTCTACCCTCTGTCAGTTTAAAGTCATTCCCCCTTGTCCTGTCACTGCATGCTCTTGGAAAAAGTCCCTTTCCATATTTCTTGCAGCCCCTTTAGGCACCAGAAGCTGCTTTAAGGTCTCTCCAGAGCCTTCTCCAGGCTGAACAAACCTCTGTCTTCATAGCAGAGGTGCTCCAGCCCTGTGATCATTGCCCTTCTCTGGACTTGCTCCAATACCATCATGTTTAGATGGAATTAACCAAGCGGTTCAAAAGCTGTTTGTCAGGAAGTAAGGGAGGTGACAGAGAGCAGTGTAATTGCCTAAATCCTGTGTCCTTAGAAAAAATGGGTAAAACTGTGTTGTGCCTGGAGAGTGAGGTGTGTTATGGCTGTATGTCTGTTGCCAGCACTAATATCTTAACAAACTGATAAAGTGGTCCAGAAAAAAAAGTAAGATGAAATCCAGTGTAGACAAGTGCAAGGCACTGCATTTAGGCAGGACAAGCTGGCTGTTCAGATTACAGCATGCTTGAAACTCTGGAAGTTGGGAAATTTCTAATCCTGAATATCTTGGAGGGCAGTTACCATTTTTCCAGCTCTCTTTTCATCCAGTTTTATGTAATATGTTCCTACAGTTCTTCCAGTTCAGTATTTCCTCTAGAACTGAGAAGCCTATTTCACACTGACTTTTCACACTAGTTTATGACCAGTTAATTGCCCTCCAGAGATCTGTCAAATGGATAGCTTGTCCATCAATAAATACAACTTTTAATTTCATGTCTTAATGTTTGCTTTCCGTTTATAAGCAATATCTCTGAATTCACTATTACAAGCTGTTATGCAGGATTATTAAAGCCTTCAGGCATCTTTTGTAAGAATGAAAGCTTTTCTTCCTGAGTACTGTCAAAACTCCACAATTACCACAGTCAGATTTCATAGAGCAGTGATACAGCAGATCTTCAAAAGGGGTGCTGCTGAAGGCAGAGCTGAAATACGTGGTTGAAAGAGCAAAACAGTGTTGCTTAGAACATAAATGTAAACAGCTTCATGAAGCACCTTTTCATCATGAAGCACCTTTGTGAGTAGGACACCTAAAGTGAAGAAAACACACATTCTTCACATTACCATT